TGATGCCGATCTACTGGTGGAGGGTGGGTATAGTTACTCTGGTGCTCTGTGCACCTACTCGGCTTGCTAATAGAAGACTTCACGGTCTTGGGAGCAGGAGGATCGTCCTGTAAGGATGTACTTGGCATAGGCACAGAAATTGAATTTTCCTCTCCTGTAAACGTGCCTGGTTTCTCAGTGTTTATTCCCAACCCCAGGTCTCCTGGAGAATTTGCCCTATCTTTTATCATATTAGTTACCCTGAGGCTGTCTTTTTTGTCAAGACTTTCAAACACTGGTGCCTCCCGTGCTTTCCCTTCTTCCTTCCACCCCTGCCTCATTAACAAAACCAGCAAAGCACAGTACCTCCATATCCCCTCCCTCCGCCCCTGAAATCCCAAAGCCGACCACACACATGTGCACACACACTTGAGGTGGCCTGTGCATTACTATTTCAGAACTTCTTGGTTCAGGAAGAATCTTTATGGTGGATTTCCACAGCGCTGGCCACTGTGGCTCTTGGGACTTTTTGGCTTAGCAGACTTGCTGCAAAGTATGAGCTTTCCTAACTGTAGTCAGTAATTGATCCAAATACTAATTTTAACTACAGTAGGATCTTGTGCCTGTTAAGAGCAAAACGGTAATGCCATAGGGCTTTTTCTTCGTGCTCAGGCAGATAACATGAAACCAAAGCTAGACATGACTAATGGTAAATGCTAAGCTAAGTAAATACCATTTACTTGCTCTGTCCCAAAACTTGTGGTCTCTCAAAGGAGGGCTTATTTCATAAGAAAACTGCCTTTCTGCACCTTTGTTTCTTCTCCAGACTTTTACTACTTATACTCAGCCAAGCTGAGAAGTGTTCTCATTTCCCTGTGTCGCAAAGGAGTTTTCTCTCTGTTTTGCTATTAAGTTCATGATGCTGTGAGTATATTAGAAGTAAGGAGACAATAGGAAGAGGGAAAATAGCTACATCTCCAAAGGGAAAGTGTGCTTCTGTTCCTTAGGACAGAATGGGACACCTGTAGGAAATACAATTACTAGGGCCTTTTGATACCAGGAAACATAAAGTCCTATTGAAGAAAATCCATTTTCTGAAAGTGACAGACCAAATCAATTGATAGAAGTCAAATTCTTCCTGGGTGAGGGGAAAAGCCCCCAAAACTTTCTTACGCTTGGCTTCCATTCTTGAAGGAGGACTGAAAGTGCAGGAGGATTTCCCATACCTTAACAGGCAGAACATTTTGCAGTGCACAATTTTTGTATAATAGGATTTTGGAAAAAAGCTGAGAAGGTATTGAATGAAAAATGACCAAGAATTTTTAAGTGTTGAAACTAAATAACTGAAATATGACCTTGGTTAGTGGAGTGAGTAGGTTTTGGTAGGTTTAAAGTAGTTTTGTGCCCTTAAGGTGGGGATGTGAGATACTAGCTGTTAGGAAATTTTCTTGTGAAGCTGCGTGGTTACACCTCTGAAAGTCCATCTAGGAAACAGAAGTCTGTGTACTTTAGAATTAGGTAGGCAGGCATGTGTGTGTGTATTACTGCTTTGGTGGAAGAGCAAATACTTGAAAGCTATGCTAGAAACGTTAAGAGGAGCAAATAATTCTGCAGTTGCAAAAAGCCTTCCATTTGTGTCTGTGGCTTCTTGCAAGAAGCCACAAAGTGGCTGTGAGTTTCTCTTCATTCCTGAGTGTATTTTTAGAAATGAAGTACTAGACCATAGATTAAGAAGAAACTTGTGTTCAGGATGTGTGTGGTGTAGAGAGCATAGTTTCATTAGAGTAAGCATTAGCTAGCAGGGAAAAAAGATGGATTATTTAATCCCATTACAAGAAAGCTTGGGAAATCTATCTGTGCACTTTAAAAAGGACAAACATGAGACGCAGCAGGATGGAGAAGTGAAAAGAGATAGATGGTAGGTGAATGATACTACGGGGCGGTCAGCCCAGGTGCTCAGGAGCAGGGTGGCAGGGGAGCTGCTGTGGTCAAATCGCTGTCACCGACAGGAGCGCGCTGCTGCTGGCACAGCTCTGGGCACTCCCACACTGTTCACTCACTCACAGATGTCTTTCTCAGCAACAGGTGGAATGCTGGTAGCGGGCTTTACAGCAGCATTAAGCAGACGTTTCCTGAAGCTCCTGCTGCTTCTGCAGATCACCAGCTTTACTTGTAAAGCTTATTCCTTTCCAGCAAAGAGCCTTGGGTGGGGAGACAGGGAGGGATTTGCTTCCATTTCCCTTCTTTAAGCCTGCACTGTAAATGACTTCAGAGAGGAGCAGAAGAAGCTGAGGCATGCCATGCATATCAGGAGGGGTTCTGTGAACAGGCAACAGGGCCAAAATAGCAGCAAGTGTTAATGCAGCATAACACCAGGACCTCTCTGGGTCGTGCATGTAATGCTGTGTAAGGACTAATACTGTGTAAAGGACTCCTGGGCATACTGCTGGTATCAACCTTGGTTTATATTTAATGGAATTATAGGGCAAAAGCTCCTTCCTCTGTTCGGCTGCTTTGTTTTCCTGTGTGGTGCTGCTGGCCTCTCAGCCCAGACACGTCGCTGTTGTGATAGTTGGAAGAATCTTTGCAGGGGAGCATGACTGCTTGAGCCTGTCAAAAGCATTGTCGGTTTGAAGTTACCTGCTTAAAAATAACATGGAATTTGCCACGGCAGCAGCTGGTTCATAAGCAATTGCCCTCAACTGAACAACAACGACAACAAAAAAAAAAACAACAGAAAAAAGGAATTGTAACCAGAAGAACAGCTGCTACTTCTGAAATCAAACACTTCACACTGACACTTATCTGTGGTATGATTTCTCACCCATCTCACACTTCGTTTTCCAATAATATAAATACCTCTGCTGGTGGAAGGTGCAGGGCAGGCTTTGGGCGTTTCCTTTACAGCTACTGGAGCTGGTGGTCTGAAGAAGCACCTAAAACTGATGAAGCCTGCAGCCAACTGCACGTGGTCTGCAGGTGATAAGGCAGCTCCAGATCATCTCTACAACTGGAGATTGCTCTTGGTATGGAAATTAAGTCTTCACATAGATGTTAAATCAAAGTTTCTTGCTTGATGCTTTGTCAAGCAGAAAGAAAATCTGAATCCATGCTGTTAATGGGCGATTCAAAGACTATTTTTTATTTGTCAATCGTGTTGTGGGCTGGTATCTTTTGAAGTTTGATTTTTATGTGGGTTGCATCATTTTCTTCCTCTGTTCAGAAGTAAACCTGGTTTCCCACCTATCTGCAGTTGCATAACCCTTTTTCTTTCTAATACGACTATACGTATTTGCCAACTATCAGAAATGCCTACATGGAAAAACACTATTACAGCAACGTATTTTTAGCTGTCTTAAGCAGAATGTAGTGGGAACAGGGAAAAAGAAAGAACAGCCAATATTGAATCATCAGCCAGCTCTTTATAGGCTACCAGCATGTGCTCCTTGGACCCACCTCTGTGCCATTTGGCACTCAGGTAGGATTCTGGTGTAGTGTTGGTAAATCCAGATGTAGCATTAGTATAAGACATTACTTTTGTTAAAGGAACTGTGTGTATGACACCTGATCTTCATGACTGAGCAGTATTTTCCCCTAATGGTTAAATTCAGGTCCCCAGAAATATGCAGTGCCCACCACTTGAGTGGGAAAAAATGATTTTCCAGTTCAGGCTTAGCTGTAGCTTCTTCTGAGTCTGATTTTACCCTGACCTCTCTATTAAAGAAAACTGGTTATGGATAGGCTTCATCTTTTTGATGTCCATTTATAGCTGAAGAAGTCAGCATGCCAAAATTATGAGCAAGTTACTCAGAGAAACCAACCAAACATTCCCCAAACGTTTAACTTTGGAAAGTAGCACTATTGGATCTACAGTGCATGCTCTATGCCTGTATTTACATTGTAAATGTAATGCTTCTAAAAGGTAGCCATGGCTTTTGCAGCTGGCAGTGCAGTGATTTACCAGAAGTTTAGTGCCTGAAGACTCTGTTTTAGATACCTCCTACGATTCTGAAAGACTGTCAATTAAGGTTCTGTGCTCTACCTGAAGTTCCTAGATGGTACTGAAAAGATATACTTGAAATGTTAAATATAACTTCCAACTCTATTGTTGTTCTCCATAAATACTGTGGTGCCTTTTTTGGTGACAGGAACAAGTTCCAGAATAAATTCAGTGATGTTTACAGGGTGGATTTGGAGAAGCTAGGAGATGGGAAAGTAAGAGAGGTCAGTACTGTGAATTTGAGATAATGCACCAAACGTATACATACACAGGACATAAATGGAGCCGAGGGGAGAGAAGCAGCATGGGAACTGCACGCACCCACTTCCTTAGCAGAGTGGTAGCATGGCTAATACACAGCTGAAAAGGACTAGGAACAGATGGAGTTCAGTGAAACACATCAGTGAAAACCAAGGAATGGGATCCTAGATGTTATCAGCCGTTATTAGATCACTAGTTCTGACACTTGGCTATAGCTGGTGGATGATATTAAAGGTGACTGGCATTTGAGAATAAAGTTAAAAACTTGTCAGCTCTATGTATAGTACGTACTGTAAGCTTTTAGTAAAGGTGTAAATGGTCTTCCTGCTCAGAGCAAAGTGGGTCTCCCCATATTTGGAGGACTGTAAATTTGGCCAGTTGCCAGCTTTTTCTTTTTTGTTGCATAACACTTACCTATAGTAAATGGAGGAGTAAAATACTGGTTGACTTCCACTGGATTCTTTCTAAGCCTTAAGTGGCTCTGGTATTACCAGTACCTTTACCCTGAAAATAGCCATTTGTCACACTGGTACAAATACAGCAAGTATCTGTGTTACGTAGTTCTATACAAAACATAAAGACCAACACTGACCATCAAACTCTGCCTCAGCATACAGCACATGGAACACTTGTGGACATTATCACATCTCTGCACATGAATTTCAACTCAACTCTTTAAACAGACCCAACACAGTTTTACATGATTACTGCTTCTGTATTTTATTACTAGATTTTATAACGATTTTTCATTTCCTTTTAGCTTTACCTTCAGGCCAGAATGAAAGGAGACTGGGCAAGACTCGTACGTCCTACTCTACAATTTGGTCTTATTGCTGCCTCCATCTATGTGGGTCTCTCGCGTGTTTCTGATTACAAACATCACTGGAGTGACGTTTTAACAGGACTCATCCAGGGAGCAATGGTAGCCGTGCTCATTGTAAGTAATTCCCAGGGGGTGGTGGGGTGTTTTTAAACCCAAACAGCACCTTAGAATTGCAGGCTGTGTTCAGAGGAAAGCTCTGAAAATTGCTGGACAGGAGAGACAACTCTGTGAACTGGGTGTAGCAATAGCGGACTCCGGGCCAATGATGAGATAAGTGGCTGTTTCAGCTGTTAGACGACATGAAATTGTCCTGGCCTGAGAGCTTGTCAAATAACTGAGATGGAAATGGTCAACCACAAAACCATGTGGGCCTCTGCATAACCATACCTTCTGCTTCTAGCCAAATTCTAAATCTCAAGTACAATAGCAGAGAACTGTGTGCAAGGTAAGCAGGGCAAAAAAAAAAAGGCCTTTAGGGATGAGGACAGCTTGGAAGTGTCTGCCAGCTTACACAGCCTGTTTCTTCAGTCTGATGGGAAACTAAAGCCCTTGCCCGTTTCTTGTGTGCATTTTGAGTGCTAAAAGGGTGTTCGCAACAACCAGCAAGGAAAGCTGAGCTGTACGGGTGAGTGAAAAGCTATCCCAAGGAACAGAGAATCAGCTAAACTTAGAGCTGTAGGCCTGGCTGACTTGGTGGCAGCAATTATGCTGACTGTTGCCAGAATGTGCTGTGGTTGATATCCACTGGAAGGGACAGATCAGAGAGACTTCTAGTTCAGAGACATCAGCTCACTGAGGTCATACTGAAGAAGTAAGTTACCCAGAACTGAGGCTCACCTGGGAGAACCCCCTCCAAGAAAAAAAACACTTTCTCAGCTGAAAGTCAGAAGGGTATAGTTCATGTCAAGACAGAGATTTGTTTACTTGTTGCTATCAATGATCAAATCTTGGAACAGCTCTGGGAAACCCTACATACTGCATTAACTGTTACTAAATGGCTGCATGTTGACTCAAACATAATCCTACCCCTCAGTTTTGTACTATCATCTCATTTTCTAAGAAAAGGAGAGCAGGGAACGAGAAACATCAGGCACTGAAGAACTGAGGGCACTTTTATTAGACAGCAAGTTTAGTGAAGGGTGGTGGGTGAGTTAGAGGGTATCTTAAGAGATACCCGGTAATACAAGAATGAGTAGAAGGTGGCATTACAGTGAACAGAATTGGAAGGTGAGGAAATTATTTTTAGGAATAAAACCCCCCAAAACAAGCCCTTATTGGAAAGAATGGAAGAGTTCAGAAGCAGAAATCTGAGGTAAGAGCATGCTGGGGCAGCAGCTGCAAATGGAGTTGAGTGAATCCAGCATTACACAGGAGCTGCAGCTCAGCGGGTATGTGGTGTGCGGGGCCATCAGCCAGCTGTCAGACAGTTTCCCCTGCTGCCCTGAACTGTGTGCTGCAGTTCTCAGGGTTGCAGTGGGAGGGAAGGGGGTGGTGCAGGCAGGGAAGCAATTGTGAGAGAAGGCTTCTGTTTATGGCACTTCATGCAGCACGGTACCCAGCACATCTACTAGTACGAGTTGGTGTGAAGTGGGTGGCGGGAAGAGAGCGAGCTGCAGAACGGGATGAAGGCACCTGTCTCACAGTCGCTAGGTGTGAAGGAAGTGAGGTGGGATGTTCAAAGGAATGCAGGAGAGGGTAACATAGGTAGGGTGGGCCTTACAGCTGCTGGAGCTGTGGGTGACACACATATTGGGCAGTGAGCTCCTCTGAACCTTGCCAAGGAGAGGAATCCAAGCTTGGTTTAATTGGCTTTTAAAGAAATGCAAGTGAGAGTCACACTCCAGAGAGTAATAGTTACTAACTATTGAACCCTCTTCACCAGCTAAAGCACAAGCTCTCCTGTCCTGTTCTAAACAAATTACAGAATAATTTAACCATGCCTGCCATGTGTCCCTCAGCAGGCGTATCTTGCTCCTTCTCTTAGAGTTACCCAAACTACAGCTATTGTAATGAAGCAGGTCCTGGTAAGGAAGTTAGAGCAGGGAGGTAGCACACAAACCTTGAATTTGGCTTAAACCATCAGTGGTCAATGGGGGGAGATAGCTGGAGAGAATGCTAACAGAAGAACAGATGCCAGAATTTTATATGAGACTTCCTAGCAATCTTCTAATGTTTTACTCCGTTCAAACTTTACTCAGTTTTATTAGCTTTGGTTGTCGAATTAACCTTCTGCAAAAGCATTACACATTGCTTCAAAGACTTCCAAGTGCAGCAGCTTAACACTAATTTGTTCATGTAGGTTGTGTATGTGTCCGACTTCTTCAAAGTGAGAGGATGTACATTTCAACCGAAAGAAGATTCCCATACAACCCTACATGAGACTCCAACAAATGGAAATCACTTTGGCAGCAACCATCAACCATGAAGAATGACCCACCTCACCTGTCTTGCTCTCTGAAAGGAATACAATTTCACAAGTCTATGTAATATAAGTAAATGCCTTTAAGGGACTGCTGCTGCTCTTGGATGCTCACTTTACCTGTATATAGTAACACCTACCACAGTTATATTGTATATCTAAACTTCAAATTTCTGTTGGTTCAAGCTCTTGCTTACAAGAAAAAAGCTATTCAAATTGTAAATTTTTATTGAAAACATGGTAACAGTTATATTGCATACACTGCTGTTTGTACATGCCTTGTTGAAATAACTGTGGTTTAAATACACACCATTAAAGGAAATAATGACTTGAGACAGAAGTATCATGTGAACCTGATGAACTTGTTCCAAAATATGAATCTAGTACTGTTTTTAGAAGTTACCTTCTGTTACAGGTAAAGGCTTGCAGCAAACACAATATCTCTCTTGATTTTTGTAATCCCTATTAAAAAGGAAAACTGTATTAATATCCAGCAGTCATTACTGACACAATCACTATTTTAAGTACAGTTACAGGCATGTAATAGGTTGCAGTTAAGTGTCACAAGTCTTCATCCATTTTCAGTCATAAACTTTGTTAAACTGGCAGTGTGCACCAAAACACTACCTCTCTAAGTCAAACTTTGTAACGCAGATGTTACCTGGAAGGACAGCAGTGATGCTGTTTACCATGAAGTCAATCCCAGAAGCTCATGTTCCCAAATGATCCTCCAGGCCCCTGGCCCCCACCTTGCTTTCTAGAATTGCTTCTTATCCCGTGGAAGTGAAATACATACCCTCTGCAAACTTATTTTCCAACTCTGTGTTTCCAATGGCTTTTGCAGCCTGGCACATCTGCCGAAGCAATTCTTCTAGCCTCCTCATGCAACGAATTATGCTACCTGTATAAAAAGAGTGAGGGAAAACTCTGTAGCCCCTGTCTCATCATGTCACTGCATAATTCAGTTGCTCGAGCCCACTTTGGACCAAAGCAATAGTTCCTTCTCCAACCCTCTTCAATTTATCTAGAAGCTAATGGCACGAACAGCCATATGTCGTAAGCCTGGTTTCTGTTTAATAGTAATTTTAATTTCTCCATCAGGCATTTTCTTGAAGCTATCTCCAAAAGCTTGTCCTGTTCTTATTTTCTTCTAGTATTTCCACAGCCTCTAATACTTACTCAGAGGATTTTCTGCGCTATTTAGTAATTCTCAGTCGGTTTTTCCTTCAAGTACTTGTGAAGACTTGCTTCAAAAACTGTATGGGTTTGGGGCACTCACGAGATTGCTACTTCAAGAACAACCACACTGTTTTTTTCCTTTTTTTGATAGCCCTCAGTTCTTGAGTTGGCATAACCAGTGAGACAGTAAGTGGGCTGACTTACCACTCCTGTGCCACTCAAGAGTCTATGGCCCACTCTGCCACCCGGGTGCGCGCTTACAGTAATGCGTGCAAGCTCAGTCTTGACACAGTGCCTGCAGTGTAATAACCCACTGAAGGTTGTTACGTGTTTATCTCCTCTTTTAATGTACTTCTCAGCTCAGCCCAGGTCATGGTAACAAGTTTCACAAAATCACCCTAATGCTTCTGCTCTTCTAGCAGCAGGCAAACAGTACACAGTTTGGTCATTTCCTCCAGCATCACCTTACACCTACAGTCAAACCTGCTGTGTGTAAAATAATTGTCACAGGGTAAATACGGGATGAAAGGATTGAGAGCAGCCCTGCCAAGAAGGACTTGGGGGCACTGGTGGATGAAAAGCTGAACATGAGCTGGCAATGTGCACTCACAGCCCAAAAAGCCAACCGTATCCCAGGCTGCACCACAAGCAGCGTGGCCAGCAGGTCGAGGGAGGGGATTCTGCCCCTCTGCTCCACTCTGGTGAGAGCCCATCTGGAGTCCTGTGTCCAGCTCTGGAGCCCTCAGCACAGGAAAGAGATGGAGCTGTTGGAGCCGTGCCAGAGGAGGCCACCAAAACGATCCGAGGGCTGGAGCAGCTCTGCTGTGAGGAAAGGCTGAGAGAGTTGGGGCTGCGTGAGCTGGGGCCTTTTTAATAGGACCTGTAGAGACAAGACAAGGGGTAATGGCTTTAAACTAAAAGAGAAGACTAGATCTAAGGAAGAAATTTTTTACAATGAGGGTGGTGAAACACTGGAAGAGGTTTCCTGGAGAGGTGGTAGATGCCCCTACCCTGGAAACATTCCAGGTCAGGTTGGACAGGGCTCTGTGCAACCCGATCCAGTGGAAGACGTCCCTGCTCACTGCAGGGGGGTTGGACTAGATGGCCTTTCTAAGGTCCGATGAAATACTAGTGCTAGACAAGGCACAGTATCTGGAGAAAACTTTCTATATGAAGAGACTATTCTACAAAGCTGTTGTGAAACTGAGAAGTTAAGAAAAGTAAAATAACACTTCTCTCCTAAAAAAAAAAATAGCATGGTACCAGTAGGCCACATCAGCTTCTAGCGCAAGAACAGCCTGTGTGAGGGCAGCAATCTGTAAAACCTGTTGCAGTGATGTGACGTGAGAAACCCCACACGTTGTCTATTTGACACAAAGCACAAAGCCAAGGCAAGTGACCAGTGGGCAGCTCCCCGCGCACAGCCACCCTGTGCAGTGGCAGGCCCTGGCTCCGCTCTCAAAGATCCCGCTTGTCTCCATTTACCAGGCCAACCCTGACGACCGCTCCAGAGAGCACTCATTTACAGGCAGCGGAGCTGGGGTTGGTGCAGACATACTTTTCTTTGTGCATGAAAAACCTGCAGTTTTGGAATAAATGACTATTGTCTATACTTCCACAAAATTAAACACTCGATCTGCAACTGATTAATAGGATACTTAGCTCAGTTTACCATTCTTCTCTACAGCTTTAAAAAGGGTCTCTGCTTTCTGTTTCTTCCCAACACGTACATTTCAGCTTAATGACAATTCATTTTCATTGGCCAATCAACACTGCTCCAATCTGGCAAGTCCGCTTGCTCTCCTATCAACTCAGGCTTATGCTGCAACCTGAACAGACAGCCATTTACTTACCCCCACTACAAGCTTTCACGCTATTCTTAAGTGCACCCAAAAGAGGTTTCAGACACTTCACCACCAATACTAATGAAAGAGCAGAACACCATCTATCTCCAGGCGTGTGAGAGTGGAAACATGCCATCGCCTCAAGCCTTCTGCCTAGAGAAGTTCTGTTAGTGCCTGTTAGCCTGGATGACAGCACAGGACAGAATGCTGGTCTCTTGCTCACGAAGAGCACAGCCTTTCAGAGAGCACTCTTCCTAAACTTGGGAGGGGGGCAGGGAGTGACAGAAACTAGTTTAAAAAAAGTGGTGGCTTCCAATGCACTCCCTGCCTCATTACTAAAATTGGTGCACAACAGTGAAGCTGAGACTCCCTGTAATAGCAGCAACTCACTATTGCTAATGCCACATTGCCCAAAAGGCAAAGAGGAAAATATACCTGCTTTTAGAGCTTTAATAAGCCACCATGATGTACCTCATGGTAACAAACTCTATCAAAATTAAGACAGAAAGCACTAATAGCTAAAAGGACAAATTGCACCTAAGATCAAAATAAGGATGCTGTGGTTTTTGGTTTGTTGTTTGGGGTTTTTTTTTGGGGGGGTGTTTTGTATTCTGGTTTTTAATTTCTTTGAAATCACTATAGCAACTTGGCTAATGAGAGTAAACTCCCCTGGGACGTAGCAACACCACGCTGTATTTAAGGTAAGCGTAACTGGCAGCGCAAGTCCTTTCCTTCCTTTTGGACCATGCACAGAAAGCCAGGCTAATAAAAGTTAAAGAAAGACTCATGCATCAACCCCAGCCACAGGAGGTGAACGTCTCAAAATAGGCCCGTAAGATCTAATCCCGAGGGAGCTAGCACTGTTGACTAGGACAGAGCTGACCGACTAGCCGTACCCAAAACACGGTAAGTGGAAAACATTACTGCTCTGTGTACCCTGAACAGTCAAGCGCCAACGTAGAAACGTAAGTCAGCTACGGCTTCTCCTTCTGCGTTCCCTCTGCTGACGGTGCCTCTACAGCAGAGGTGTGGCTCAGCCACTGCAACAGAAGGAATGTGCCGAATGGAGAATCAAGACTGCCAGGATTCCTGTTGCTTGCAGGCAACCTGCTTTAGAAAGTTCCTGGGTCTAAGCACTGGATTATGGAAGTGCATGAATTCCTTTGTTTTAAAGGGCTCCCATTTGCAACTGTGTACATACAAACAAGAAAACAGCATTTGAGAGAAGCAAGATAGCAGTGAAGTAACACCTTCAAAAAGGATTTTCAAATATTCATTGCACACAGACTTGTAGGACTGGTGCATCCATCCTACTGTTCTTCACAACTTTCAACATAACTGGTGAAAGATGAAATTAGGTTTTTCATTCTGGTTTGATCTTCAAATGGATGGTTTATCTTTTCAAAAAGTATCTGGGCTTTAAGTCATCCTACTTATAAAATAATGAAAACTAAGGATCCTTCCTCAAAGTGCGTTTTGTAGTACTCCAGTTTTAGGAACCAAATTACCCCAGGTGACACGTTATATCTAGGCTTTTCAAATCTCTCCATTGCACTGCTGTGATGAACCATCCAAAACAGAGCCTTTGTTACCACCTCTCACTTCCATCATCGTTAAGACAGCAGGAGGAACCTTCAGTTTACCAAGTGAATAAAACTTAACTGTAATGGGGACATGCACATGTACTTCTTAATAGGAAGCATATGGATTGTGGTATTTTTCCCTTTAACTAGCAAAGGTAAGCATTACCTTTTGTTGCAATACTTAGGATTTCGGAGTTTTATAGAAAGTTTTTTAAATGTAGCCTTTCAGAAAGTCTTCTGTAGATTCTAAATTATCAGCAGTGTAACTATAAATTAACATACACAGTAAACAGTTTTTTCCCACTGGGTTTCAGCCATGCAGATACTTGAATACATCTGAGTTAATAGATTTGGGGATCTATTACATTCACAATTACCATTCTGCGTTATGGATTTACCATCTCGCAGCTCCAAAAGAAGAACTGATGAACATACCTTCAAAGACATCAGTCATTTTGCAGATGTGAGCAAAGTTGGCTCCATTTGCCCATGTATACACAACATCCATTAGGTTTGGTCTGAAAGAATTTAAGTAATTTTCTTCATCAATTTCCAG